AAGTAAAACCACTAGCCACATCTGAAAGAAAACGACAAAACAAAAACATTGTTTAAAGAAAATTCCTCCACACGTGTTAAAAAAGTAAGATATCTTTTCTAAATCTTTCCCCCTAACAATCGGTTTTAGACAACACTAGATAACTTTCACAATCGGTACCGATGCGTAAAGCAGAAAATAACTGCATCCAACATTCCGGCCGGGGAATAAACAAAACCAGCGATAAATTGAAAACGAACGAAAATTCAGCCTGTGCAGTAATACGACGGCGGCGTTTTTTGACACAATAAAATTCCAGACTCGCTCGACACATGACCAAAAATATAATATTAAAAAACCTTCGCTAACGGCCTATAAAACCACAAACTTTGATTTCAACCGAACTTTAACGCCTTTGTACACATAACTTGTCCTTGCACAAAGCAGGCTACTCACCGTTGTTGCTCGCTTATTCAAAGATCAGCACGTCCGTCGTACAAAACTGAAACATCAACAGAACAAACAGTCTCTGTATAATAGTGAAGTATTAACATTGTTTTAACCTTTCTCGCAATGCATGCTGGGAAATCCCTTTTCATTTTGTGCGGGAAACATTACATCCTCGCCATAACAAGACATTTTATATAAAGTCTCCAGCGAGGCAAAAATCACAGCCACAAACTTCGTTGGTCCTCTTTTCTTATGTCCAAACTAACCAATCTGCCCCTTATTGCCCGCTGGAGACTTCTTCACGGTGTGCAGAGCTGGGCAGAGACGTTTACACCATCCGCTGGATGGTCTCAGATTGTGCCCGAAGCTCGGTTCTTTGAGCAACGAGCGCCCATTTAAGCCTTCCCGGACTTAATGATGTCCCAGGCACTTTGCAAACCGTGGAAATAGAATTTTTTACCAAACTCGGCCTCATAAGAAGTGCCCGTTTCGCACGAGCTCCGATCAAAACCTCTCCACTCACGAAGAGAGCCGTTGAAAGGAGGACGTTACCACGCAAACTCGAACTTTTTAAAGCTAGAGCCGGTTCCCCGCGGACAAAAAAACCGGAAGTCGTTTGTCACGCGACTGAAAATATATAAATAAACTTACTTCTGTTGACCTCCACGCTGTTTTCGTCTGAGCTTTCCTTTAATGTAAAGACCTATAGTACAAATGAAATTTCTTCACACACCGCACATACGTGTGCACTCTAAATCAGAAAGATCTGTTTTAGCCCTAAAAACAGGGCCGTTTCGGTGAGTAAAATACAGTCCTATTTTTGGGTATAATTTGGCTCCCTTAAATCAGGGCCAATACAGTCCAATTAGCTAGGGCTGAAATGGGCCCTACCGTGGGCTGGAATAGCCTTTTGATAGAGCTTTTTTGGCCTAAATTGTGCTCAAATGGCTCCAAGAAGGGCTGAATCAGACTTTGGCCTGCAGGGCTGAATTGACACTTTGGGGCTGAAACAGATCTTTTTAATTTACAGTGTAAAGTGCTCATGCAAAGATGAATTCAGTGGCTCAACTCATTGTATGGCAAATTACCCTGAGCATCAATATTTGAGCAACTGTAAGTATGTATTCAATCACACAGAGTTATATAAGATGGCACTAGAGTGATTGAGTGGTCAAACGACTGGCAGTAGGCCTGTTTTTAACATATGTAGACATCACCCTTTTTTGCAAGGATTGGTCAACACAGCAAAAAAAAAATATAAGCGCTGTTTGGTCATCAAACATAATTGCACATATCGGGAGTTTGTATGATTTTCTAACACCAGGAAAAAAAATGCGTAAACATTTTAATAAAAGATTTTAAAAGCATTGGGGGAATAATGGAAGATGATGCTGGATTGCCCAAAATGGTCAAGCAATGGTTGCACATTGTTGCAGGCAATTGTCCTGGGCAATGATCAGCATGCTAGGCAATGCCAAGCATCGCCTCGAGCATTGCAAGCATTTACTAAATTTTGGTCGGAGTATAGCTTTGAGCAATGCTCAGCGCTGTCTGTCTGTGTCCGTCCAAATGATTTATGTGTAATATTTTTGTCGTCCTATAGCTGTCCATGCATTTCACATGTCCGTCCATACCCTCCCACATAATTTTGCAGTCTGGTCTGTCCATGTCCGTCCAATACATAACCTATGTCCATCCATGTCCCTCTTGTATGTTTCCATCAGCATTATTGTCCGTCCATGTCCACCCGGCTAATTGTCATCTGCATTTTTTGTCTGTGTGTGTATGTTTCAAATGACCAATTTGTTTGCCCATGCCCGTCTGGATGGGCAGATGGACGTCTGTCGCCCACCTCTGTTAATTAGAATTGAAAAGCATTACCAAACGTCGACAAGCACATAATGTTATTTGTGAGTGTCTAATTTTCCTGGTGTAACAAAAACCCCTTCCTCCCACCCTGATTAGACAACCCCTTCCCAAGTCAATCTTTGTTCTTGTGCTACACCTTAGCCGATTCTCCACATTCACACACACAAAAAAAAATATTTCAAAATGTCTTCCTGTTTCATGCACCTGGCTCCTAGCTTGCATCTTATCAAAGTTTTATTGCCAATTAAATGAAACACAAAATGCTGCTCATAACAGGTATAAAAAAAACATTGAAAAAAAAAAACTGTAGCACTCCTTCATCTTGCCTCTGCATAGGTCGCCATGTTGATTGTATGACTGATCATATCTAAATGCTTGGAGTAGTGCACACATTTTGCTACCTATCTGACAAAGGAATTTGAACAAGTTTCAAACTAGTGAGTGAGGAGTGAGCATTATTTTGTGCATCCTATGCACCCCTCATAAACTCCTTCAATTACCAGTGGCAAGAAATTGCAAAGCTGTCACTGCCAAAAAAAGCTGCCAGCAGTCAAATGAATGTTATGCTGCTTGTTAGCTCTAATCAATGGTCAATTTTCTCTACGAGTCATACTAGAACCGTGAAATATCGACATTTTGACACTTTTCCAATCGTAAAAACTCGCTTTCCTTTATTCGATACCGTTATTTTAAAACTGCTAACATTTCCTTGAAAGAATACTATCTTTGATCCTAGCGCACTTGTAAAGTGGATTAAAGATAAGAAGGCAGTCTTTGCCAAATCATTGATATGATTTTTGTTTGATATTAGTCAAAAGTAAATCAACTGCGGTAAAGATACAGTCCAGTTCAGAACATCAGGTTAAATTTTCAGTTAGCTATTCATGGCGTTGTTTAGCATTGGTCACCCAGTAAACGCCCTTACATATAAAGTATTTTTAGAGTCGGGGGTATTCATTTTTAGTGCCTATTAAAAGCCATCTGTGCATGATTTAAAAAAAAAAGCCATCGTTAATGATTTTTCCAAAAAACTGTTATCATTAAATAATTTGAAAGTGAATAAACTGACGATGAATGGAGAGATTTAGAATTTTAGACCAGACGTCACATTCCCATGTTCAGTTTAGAAAAAGACACGTCATTCATGTTCACTGAACTGGGAATGGACCCAAATGACGCAGGTGTTTTGTAGGAATAAACTTCCTTCGTGGAAACAACATATTTACTGAACGACTTGCCATTTCATTGACTTATTCTAGTTTTGGCTTCAAACTAGGGGTTTTTTCTACTAATAATTCCCAATAGATTAGCATCTCTGCGGTAGCAGTCACCTGAGTTTGACTTTTGGGAGCCAGTTGCATAAATCTCAAACGTGAGACACACCAGCTAATCCGTATTTCAAAAAGTACAAATTATTAGTTACAAATGCTCTACTTTTTTCACCACTCTTGTATAATTCTATCTCGTTCCAAATGCGCATAC